TTTTTTTTGCTTGGGTCGACGGCCTCAGCAGTCAACAAGCATCACGGTAACCGATCCGCTCTCAGTGCAAGACAGAGCAGGAGATACACGGGGGCGTCTCATAATGTACCTCGCTGGCCTCCTTGCCCCCGTGATGGCTTGATACGGCTTGTCCGTCAGCCTGTCCAGTGCGTCTTGTGGGTGATAGATCCAGAATGCAGGCAGCATCAGGGATCTAAGAAGCAAGATCGATACATTGACCACGCCGGACTTCGTGACCTGTCTCATGTCCCTGCGAGTCCCCCGAGCTCTTTCTCCGTACATTTCCTTGAAGACGTCCTTTGATGCCTGTGAAGCCGGTTAGCAATTGCTGCTAAGTGTGCCTTGCCTTTCTGTAGCCATCTCAGAGATGCGAGACCAGAGCCGCCTTTGTCACTCTCGTGCATATCCTGCTGTAGGGATCAAGGCCGGTAGACAGACAGGCAGACAATCAGTAGACAGCGAGTGAGCCCTAGATATATATGTATCCCTTTATGCATCTCGTCCATCCATATGGCCCTGCGATCGATCTGGTGGCTGCGGCTATTCTTGGAAGCGGGAAGTCCTTCTGGCCTGATTGGCGAGGAAGAGACGAAGAAGCCGGCGAAAAGAGTAGGAAGGAAAAAAAAAAAAAAAAAAAAAAGCCAGCCAGGGATCGCGCAGTCAAAAGTCCATCCAGTCCCCTTCGCCTCCTTGAAATCAGGAGAAGAAGAAGAAGAAGAAGAAGAGAAAAGAAAAGGAAACAGCGGCGATGCGGTGCCTTGCATCTCCCTGCGACTGACCGACCGTCTTCTTCTTCTCCTTCGTCTTCTTTTTCTTCCTTTGCTTTTCGCTTCGTCGCTGTCGTCCTCCTTCGTCCTGAGCTCGCCGTCGCCGTCTCTCCTTAACCGCCGGCCATCGAGTGCGCCTCGTCTTTCTTCCCTACGTCGCTGCGAGCGTCCAGTCCTGCTGCAAACCAGACAGAGCACAAGGCCAGCTGTTTCCCGGTTGCTCATACGGTATCTCTCTGCTCCTGTCCTACCTTGCTTGTTATGCTAGTTGCCTCTGCTGCTCTGTTTCTCCTGTTGCCGTCCTCACCAAGTTCCTCTGGCTAACGAACGACGACGACGACGACGACGACGTCAAGCTTAGATTGCAGGATCATACTCGTTCCCCCTCAACAGAGAAACCACGGAAGCCGACGCTCTTTTCGATCAAAATTACTCTTCTTATACCGTGCTGGGATACTGGTTGTGGCGGGCTGGAGAGTTGCCGCTGAGCATCTGGGACCCTTTGCGCTTGGAGCCAGCCAGGTTGATATCTCGCCCTGCGGCGCCTTTTGCCTCCCTTTGTTCTGCCTGCCAGACTTCCGGACACCGTTGAACGGCTCGGGCAACCTGCCTTGTGTGTTGCCCGTTTAGTGCTCTACGTCTTTTATGGCCTAAACCCGGTATGTGTTGGTTGAATACCGGACATATATACATCTCCTTTGGAAATGTCCACCGTCCGAGCCATTAGTATATGGTGTGCTTACTTTACGTTAGATCTGCTGATTCTGGGGCTGGGTCCCACGATGCGCCCCATCTCGCCCGAGACTAGGAGGCATATCAATAAATTGGGCATAAGGGTTGAGGTTCAGGACACTAGGAATGCAGCTGCGCAGTTCAATCTGCTGGCAACAGAGAGAGGCGTTCAAGAAGTTGCAGCCGCCTTGCTACCTATTGGGTAGAGCGGTCAGTTGTTACCCTCAACAGCCATATTTTTTCTACTAAGTA